CAGTCATGCTCTGTCGCCCAGGTGCAGTGGTGCAGTCTCAGCTCACTGCAAGCTCCATATCTCAGGTTCAAGCAATCCTCCTGCCTCAGCCTCCCAAGTAGCTGGGACTACAGGCATGTACCACCACGCCCGGCTAAGTTTTGTATTTTTAGTAGAGATGGGTTTAGCCTTGTTGGCCAGTCTGGTCTCAAACTCCTGACCCCAGGTGATCCGCCCAGCTTGGCCTCCAAAAATGCTGGGATTATAGGAGTGAGCCACCACACCCAGTCATGGACCTAATTCTTTTTCTATTTTTTATTTTTATTTTTATTGGAAACAGGGTCTCACTCTGTTGCCAGGCTGAAGTGTAGTGGCACAATCAAGGCTCACTGTAGCCTCAACCTCCCAGGCTCAGGTGATCCTCCCACCTCAGCCTTCTGAGTGGCTGGAACTACAGGCACGCACTACAATGCCTGGCTAATTTTTGTATTTTTTTGTAGAGACTGGTTTCACCATATTGCTCTGGCTGGTCTCAAACTCCTGGGCTCAGGTGATCCACCCACCTCAGCCTCTCAAAGTGCTAGGATTACAGGAGTGAGCCACTGTGCCTAGCCTGGCTGGACTCAATTCTAATAAGAGAAATCATTTGTGGTTTGAGGGATCAGGAAGGGTTTCACCTATGCAGTTGTTATTGAGTCTGGGCCTCGGAGGATATGTAGGATTTCAGTAGATGGAGTTGAGGGATGGGAAAGCAGATTGAGTAAAGAAAATATTATGGGCTCAATGAGAAAACAGAGCTCCAAGTTATAGTTTTGGTGGCAATAAGAATGGGGAGGGGAGCTTGAGAATGGTCATGTAGACGCTGATAAGATTTTATACTAATTGGTTATAGCAGTTGAGGAAGAGGGAGGACTGAAAAGTTACTCCAGCTAAACGCAATGTGATATCCTGGGTTGGATTCTGGCACAGAAAAAGGACATTAGTGGAAAAAATTGATGAAATCCAAATAAAGCCTGGATTTTAGTTAATGTACTATGTTGGTATCTTGATTTTAACAAATGTATATAAGATGTTGACATCAGGGGAAACTGGATGAGAAGTATGTAGGAACTCAGTATTATCTTTGTTTTAAATCTAGAGTTATTCCAAAATTAAGTTTATTAAATATACCAAATAAAAGTTAGTGTATGATTTTAAGCCTGGATGACAGAGGGGAATGGGTAGTACCATTTAACAGATGGAGGCAAGTTAGAGAAGCAGAGGATAGATGATGAAGTCAGCCTACATATCTCTTGAGATCAAGCTGCTTAGGGAAATGTGAATAGAGAAACTCAAATGTCAGAAGAATAGGAGTGCAAGTGGGTTGATGACATAGACTTACAGATATAGAAGTAATGGATGAAGATTTGAGGCTGGAGAATAAAAGCCTAAGAGGAAAAATAAAGAAATAAGTTCTATACTCTTTTTCTGAACCTATGTATTATCTAAACTATCCATGCAGCTGGGAGCAAGAGCCACATGCACATTTGTAAGTCACATTCAAGTACTGACCCATATTAGTTAAAATTATTTGATGCCAAGTAACATAAACCACTTTGAACTAATTTTAAGCAAGGAAAGGGAATTGACTGGAAGAATATGGGATGTTTTGTAGAAGCCAAGGCCAAGAATGGAGCTGGACTTTAGGAAAAGACTGTAACTAGAAACTGGAAAATCACTAAGACTTTCCAGTTATTCTGTGTGGCTGTTTTACTCAATTTTGTCTGTAGTCTGCCTTTCACTGCTTCATATTTTAAAATGTGGCTGACCTAGAGCTTGTGTTATGTAAGCTAAGTATGTGTTACACAGTTCTAATATATATATAAACCATCTTGCTGTCCTTTGGTCCAAGCATCAAATTGCAGAGAACCTGAATGACCTACTTTGGATTAGGTTTTAATCCCTGGTTCAATGGTAAGTAGGTTGAGAAACATAACAGTGACATATCTGCAACAGTAGTCCCACCTTGGTGGATTGCAGGGGTGATAGATAGTTCCCAAGAAAGTATGTGGTGTATATGTCATAGAGGGCTGGTGGTGAAGGAGCTTGTGGATAGTATGAGCTAATATACCAAAAAGTTTGGGATCATCCTATGTCTTCTTGTAAAATTCTTTATTTATTCTATTATAGTTGCTTATCATCTGAATCAACAGACTGTAAGCTTTTGGGATCTGGAATACTGGCTTGTTCACTATTGTATCTAATTTCATAACATGATGCCTAAAACATAATGTGTACTGGATAAATAAGTAATTAAATGAAGTTATTCACACGTTTGAACTGATATTCTGAAATTGTTTTTGTTTGTTGGTAGAGACAGGGTTTTGCCATGTTGCCCAGGCTGGTCTCAAGCAATCCACTTGCCTTGGCCTCCCAAAGTGTTGGAATTACAGGGGTGAGCCACTGTGCCTGGCTTTATATTCTTTTCCTTTACTTTCTTTTTTTTTTTTTTTTT